AAAATATATCTGAAATATTAAATAGTTGATGTAAAGCTAAATGTGCAGTAGGATAATAAACTCCAGAAAGTAATTCAGTAGCATTGTAAAAAACTTCTAGAAATTTAAAAAAATACTCACCAATCTGCCAATCAGTGTCGAAAATTAAAAGTTAATCATTCTTACTGTTTACGTATGTCGTGATAAGCTGCGTATACAGGAGTGCTGCTTTCAACATTAAATATGTTGAATTCCACCTATGTGTCACGTCAGTTGGAAATTTTCTTGGGCGCATCTGACTGTTCCTGCAATATTGTTTGAATTCTTGGAGCCAAGCTCCAAAACTAGATATGAATGATAATGATTCTCTAATATTTGTTAGATTAGATGAGATATGTTCAATTCCTGCCTGAACTACTAAATTAATTATGTGATATGCACACCATTGATGAAAAATTCTCCCCCTAATGCTGGTTTCAAACTACGTTTAAACATGTTAATTGCAGTTGTGTTAGCTGACGCATTATCAAAAGTAATAGTTAAAACTTTATCTTCTATCCCATAAAACCCAAAAATTTCCATTTTTGTACCAAAAATAGATGATGCGTTATGAGGATATGGACATAAACAAAAACCAATTATTTTTTTCTGTAAAACCCAATCGTCACCAATGTAGTGCATTGTGACACATAAATATCCAGTTTTATTGCACCCCTCCCATAGATCAGAAGTGCAAGAGACAGTAGCATTAAAAGTCCTAAAATTATCAACAAGAGATTGTATCATTGTATAAACACTTTCATGCAATTAGAACAAGTTGTGTTTCTTCTTATCCGTTTAAATTGTGGGCAAAAGGCCGTCTGGATGAATTCTTCGAACGGCGCATCATCTGCAAAAGAAAGAGACAATTCGGCACTAGCTAGAAATTTAGCTAGTGTCTCACGAGTACGTTGTGCATTGTATGTAAAATTTTGTAACCCCTGTGATGCGAGTGCTAGTGTTTGTTGGCGGGAGTCCACACTCCCACCTTGGTGCAACGGTAGACATACTTTTCAATGTCTATCCAGATGACCAGTACCCCCACCATTTTTATTAGAAAAGTGTTTTTTACAATAGTTACATACCGCACGAATTTTCATTTCACCTGTTTTTAGATTTGGTCAGGGCTCCTCGGTGAAATGCTGCCATGCCGGAGAAGTTCGCGGTCTTTTTCTCCTACTACGTTCTCCAGCTTCCTCGTTGTGCACTGAAGCATTATCCACTGGAGCATTTTCTGGTTCAGTGGGGGTGGGATTGGGAGGCATCATTTCATCCTCAAAAAATGCCTCATCACCAAGCTCAGGAAGAGCAGTGAAATCATGGAAGTTTGGTGCGGCAATTTTCTGGAAATTGATTGAACTTGAACTTTGTAAATGAAAGAGCAAGAAAATGAGTGAATGCGAGAAAAAAGCCTAGAATCAAAATCAAAGAGATAAGTTGAGAGATAGAATGAGAGTGAGATGAGAAGTTGAGAGTGAATTGTTGTGTGGAATTTAGGGTGGAATTAAGCGGTATTTATAGAGGATTTTTAAGCCATTTTTAGATTCTTACCGTTGGGCTCTTTACGGGCCCAATGGGCGCCCATGACGGGCCTAACGGGAGGCCCGTCACGTGCCAAATGGGAGGCCCGTCACGGGCCGCCCGTTAGGCCTGGGAAGGGCCCAAACGGTAGCATTTAGAATGGGATGTTTCACAGGCCGTTTCGCGAGCTTAGGCCGGGCCGAACAAGGGCTGAATCCGGGCTTGGGCCGGGCTGTGCCGCGGGCTTCCACGGGCTAGGGCCGGGCTTGGGCCGCGAGCTGAGAAGCCAAAGCCCAGCCCTAGCCCATTACACGTGTAGGGTCGGCACGGCCCATAATAATAGCGAACCGGGCCGTGCCGAATCCGGCACTATTACGGGCTGGACCGGGCCGTCTATGGACGGCCCGTCCCATTTGACACAAATCTTTATAAAGTCCTATCAGTTTGGTAAACTTTTTTATTTTGAACTAAGTTTAATTATATTTATAATTTAAAATAATGCACCGACGTATCTCCTGAAAATTAATTCCCAACAGGATCTAGTCCATTTGGAACCTATATGCATTTTTTTTTCATAGTAAAAGCCAATATTCATTCCCAAAATTTTCAATATTGCCCCGAAATATTAGTGATTAAAACAACAAGAGACAGTGTTAAGCATAATCTCAATGATCATCACCGGTTTTAACGCTACAAAAATGGTCTAGTGGTTGTGTGAACGCAAAATTGTTTATATTGAGTGAGAGAAACTTTTTTTTTTTTTTTGCTCTAGATTGATGACCCTAGTTGCTCTATAACAATTAATTCGCTATATAATTAAATAAATAAATATTAAAAAACATTGTTACTTTTAAAATAATGATCTATGTCTTTGAGTTGTGGTCGGCTTCACTTTAGATGTACTGTCCAATTTTCATGTCTCATTGATTTACGGAGTTTCCGAAGGGAAGTTACCTGTCTGGCTATCTATACCAATGATTTACTATGACTCTCTCTGCCTTTATTTGGTGTTTGAATTGCTCAAATCCCATTATATATAACCAATCTTTATACTATTTTTAAGGTATACAGGCCTAATTTGTAGTTTTGTTAACAGGACTAGATTTATAATTTCCACTTGGGAACATAATATCCGTATAAAATCCAATATTGCGCCAAAACATTATTGCTTAAACAACATAGAAATGAGTGCTAAAGTAGATTTGGGATCCGGGATGTCATGTGCATAGATTCTCGAGAGAAGCGATAAATCTAATAAATAAAAAATGCATTTCTTGAGAGGAGCAAGGGTGCTTTTAACCATATTTATCAAATATTATATCAACTACTAATTCACAGTAAAATAAAATTAAAAAAATAAAAAATATGTTTTCTATGTTTAAAATGATGATCTATGCAATTTACGCTTAAAATAATTATCTATGCAATGTCTTCTAGTTCTGGTCGGCTCAATTCAAATGGGGCCAAATATTTGCGTCTCTTTTTATCTTCCACGAAATTTCCGTCTTCTTTTACAAGAAAGAAATTTAAGCGCACTAAGAAATGGGGGTTAGTTCCCTTAAAATAATAATTAAAAAAGATGGGAGTTATCTGATAGACGATCTCATGATCTATCTACTAAAAAAAATTTAATGGTGTAGTAATTAATTATAACGATCTTAGGTTTATGGACACATTTTGAGTATTAACAGACTTAGGGGTTTAGTTTAATTGACACATATTGTTTATTAACAAATTTTAAGAATTAATCATAGCATTATTACTGAATGCACTAACGAGTTTAAATAAATTTCATGTGACAAAATATGGCTTACATATTTACAATATGAAGTAATGAATGCTTATTTATTAAAAAAAGGTATTATTGTTCGTTAAGACACTAAATTATATCCGAAGTATTGCCAAATATCTTTTTCTTTTCTTTTTTTTTTTTTCAAATGTCTTTCATATTTTTGAATTTCTCTGCTAATTTCTTTATACGACCTGTGATTGCAAAATAAACTTTTCTCTCTAAGAAATTTTCCCTTTTTTCTTGCTTTACAGAAAGCAATAATTTTTTAGTAGGTTAGGTACAAAACTCACTTAGTATCGCATTGTTTGTATTATAAGATTTCTATCGAGTTATGTTACTTTTGTGTATGTATATAATTAATATATTGATATGCTTTTTTTAATATAACACTTTGAGTGTCGTCAGTCGATGTAATTTTTAGGAAAATTTTTATGATGGGGCACGTTTCTTTTTGTTTTTTATTTTTTTCCTAAACTTCAACAATCTAATTTATAAATAGCATTACTTTTTTGGTTTGACGATGTTCCTTTTTTCAATGTAAACACTCATAAATTAGATCACAATTTAATCAAACGACTAATAATACTTACCCAATCATAAAATTTTCAATCTTGTAAGTACCCTAACATCAAATTTTCTATCTTATTAATTCATGTAGTCTCAATGAGTTTTTCCATCATCTGCATGTTTAAAGCTTTGAAAATGGCCATGTAAAATGCCTAGAACCCAGAAGTTCAGGAATTACTTCCTGTAAAAACTTCAAACTATTACATTTTGGTTACTTTCAACTACAGAAAAGACAAATCAACAAAAAAAAAAAAAAAAAACCACCCTTAGTTGTGGAGCTCCTGCAATTTTTTCCATCTTCTAAATCCTCCCCAAAGCCAAGCCCCAATTTGCTAGGTAAGATGAAGGTGCCCTTACAATTTCTGATATGTAACGTATGAGAAATGAATGAGAACTCAGGGGCTGAGTCGCCGTCAGCGCGGCTGGCATCGGCGATGGTTGGGTCACACAGGCGAGAGGGGTTGTGAGAGGGGGGGTCTGGTAATGGAGCAGTGTGATCTACGTTTTTTTTTTTTTTTTTTTTTTATTGTTTTTCCGCATATAAAGGAAGATTGAATGGACGGTTGGGATTTGACTTTTATTGATCAATGGCTGATATTAAAAAAGATAGTTTTCACATTTTCTAAATAAATTTAACAGAGTTTAGGTTCTGTGATTAGTTTCAATCAAATGGATGTGATTATAATATTAATAAAATACAAAAAGTGTCACAGTAATAAGCCTTTTTTTTTTAATTATATATTATTCGTCACTCTCAAACATTTCTAGCTCCGTCGCTCGACAAAAGATTGAATAGAGGTCTAGATTAAATAGGGCACATAGTCACATGATATGCCCAATTGCCCATTCGTTTTTAATCCAGATTTTAATTATATTCTGTTGAAAACGCGTGAGTGGAAATGAACTGGCCGGGGCAATATACTTGACGTGTTTTATTTGTCTTCTTCCTAGATCGCACAAGGCAGTCTCTCAACAAGTTTATTTTAAGGTCATCTTAGCGTGTCTGCAACTTCTTCTCAAGCTAATTTAGTCTTGCTTTTATAAGACTGTGCTTCTCAAAAGGCATCAAGTCGCTAAGAGAGCTTTCATTCTATTTGTTGATATGGATGATTATGGTGTTTCTCCTTCTTCTCTTTCCTCTATTTGTGAGAAATACGACGTCTTTCTGAGTTTTAGAGGTACAGACACGCGCCATAACTTCATAAGTCATCTTTTTGCTGCATTGACACGAAAGCAGTTCAAGACTTTTATCGATGAGGAAAGCCTTGAGAAAGGAGACGACATTAATACCGCACTTCCTGAAGCAATTCAGAAGTCAAAGATTGCGATAATCATTTTCTCAAAAGATTACGCTTCTTCAACCTGGTGTTTGCGTGAGCTCGAAAGTATACTCGAATGTCGCCGAGAAAATAAACAGATGGTAATAGCTATTTTTTACGAAGTAGATTCATCTGATATACGGAAACAAAAAGGAAGTTATGAGAAGTCATTCATAGAGCATGAATATCGTTTCAAGGACAACATAAAAATGGTTGATAAATGGAGAGCTGCTTTAACAGAATCTGCTGATCTATGTGGATGGGATTCACGAGTCACAAGGTATTTGTTTTTTCACTCATGTTTCTACGGACAGTATTTACATAAACGTAATGAAGGAATACATGCACACAAACTTTTTTCTAGAAGCGTCTGAATCTCTTTGTTAAATTGTTGCAGAACAATATCCGAGTAACATCTATCATTTTGCTAGCAATTGAAACTATTATTCGGTATACATTTTTTTTTTTTTTTTTTTGCTATAATTAAACATGTTAAAATACTTCACCTTTTAAGATTAATATGACTGTTAATTAGTTTGACACATTTTGTTAATTGCCAGTCACTTGTTCAAAGTTAAATTGCAAGCGTAAACGTAATAAAAATTTATAGAGAGCGAGCCTAATAAAGAAGACACCCATTGACCGAAATATTTCACTAGAACACTTCGAGTTTTTAGAAAAATTAGAAAGACACCGCTTCCGTTCATTATAAAGTCTGTCAAAAAGTGTCCTTTTTTATCATTAAATCATTTAAATAACGAAATAAAATACCCCTCTATAGGTCAGATTACATTTAAGTAGTGTATAGTGTTTTTTCTTCCAGTAGTGTATGGGCTTTTTATGAATATATATTTGTGTGTATATATAGATATATATTTATATTTTGAATGACGAGAGAGGATGGGTTTTTAGATGAATATATGTGTATATATAGATATATATTTATATTTTGAATGACGAGAGAGGGTGGGTTTTTAGATGAATATATGTGTATATATATATATATATATATATTTTTGAATGATGAGAGAGGATAACTGATATCAGATATTAACAAAAATGAGTTTTAAGTGTTCATTTCATGCTCACGACCACAACTTGCACTCTAATGGTGAAAAGGAAAACAAGGACATTCTCTCAAGAACATCATAAGGTAAGGTTATCAAAGTTTTGTTGATTAGTAAGCAATACTCAGAATCTAACTTGGATTAACCAAAAGGTTTAAATGTATTTTATAAAAAATAATTTTTAAAGCATAAAAATATAAAGTTATAAAATAAAACTTGTTTTACAAAACTCTCTGCGTGGGAATAAATTGTTTATATTTGTAGATATGAAGTTCACTGCATAATGCTTCAAAAAATAAAATAAAATCATTTCATGATTGTTTGCTCACGCTAGAATGGAGCAGATGAGAGTATATCATTGAAACGACTAAAAGGGAAATATAATCATATAAAATATTAACACTTTTCTAACATGGCTAGTACAAACATGTACACATAAAGAAACGAACATTAAATTATAGGAAACCAAATTTTGGGATGTTACATGATCACCACTTTAAATGAAAGCAGAAAATTAAACTAGTTACTACTAATTTGTACTACATGCATCAATTTATACAATCTAGTAGTTATTACTAAGGATCTTGTTCTGCATCAATTTATACAATCTACTAATTTCTACATGAATGAATTGTCCTGGTACTTGTTCAATATTATTACGTATATAGAGATACCAAAATAAAAGGTAAGTAATTTTATAATCTAAGTTAGACCGATGTAATTAAGATTAAATACTATTTTTTTTTAGAATTAGAACTCGGATAACTCTATTACATATATTTTTTACATACATTTTAAAAGCTAATTCCTATAGTAACTGTTAACTTTCTTTCTTATATACAGGCCTGACACTAAGTTAATTGAAGAAGTTGTTGAAGACGTGTTGAAAAAATTGCAAAGTACTGTCTTGTCAAGTGCTGATGGTTTGAAGGGCATGATTGGAATGGAAAAACGCTGTGAACAACTTGAATCGCTAATAAGTATTGGGTCAGCAAATACTCGCATAATAAGCTTGTTTGGAATGGGTGGCATAGGCAAAACAACCCTTGCCAATGCAGTATATGGTCGAATCTTTTCTCACTTTGAAAGTTGTTGCTTTCTCAAAAATGTTAGGGAAGAATCCGAGGAAGTACGTGATGGATTAGAGAAATTACGAAAGAAGCTCTTCGCTAAGTTGTTGGGGGAAAAAACAGTTGATTTGGAAATGCCTGCTTCGCTAGAAATCGTCAAAAGGAGGCTCAAGCGTACGAGGGTTCTTATTGTTTTGGATGATGTAAGCGAATCAAAGCAATTAGAGCATTTAGTCCGTGACGGTGACCTTTTTAAGTCTGGTAGTAGGATTCTCCTAACGACAAGAGATCAAAAGGTCCTTAGGACGATTAGAGGTAGCAATGAGGTCGAAATATCCGAGTACGTGGTTGAGCAGTTGAATGATAGTGAAGCTCTTGAGCTTTTTAATTTTACAGCTTTTGTTGAAGGAAAGCCTCCCACACCAGAATACGCAGAACTATCAAAGCAGGCAGTGTCTTATGCTGGATCCATTCCGCTAGCTATTAAAGTTGTGGGTTCTGAGCTTCGTTCGCTTCGTGAACCCAACATAGAAAAATGGAAAATGACCTTGAAGAAATTGAAAATGTCCCCTCATTCAAATATTCGCAAGGTGTTAACAATAAGTTATGAGGGACTGGAGAAAGATGAGAAAAATATCTTTCTTGATATCGCATGTTTCTTCAAAGGGGAGCGTAGAGATTTTGTAGAAAACATTCTGAATGCGTGCAATTTTTCTGCGAGTACAGGGATAGATAATCTCATTGATAAGTCTCTCATAACAATCGATCCTCAAGGTAACGAGCTTCAAATGCATGACTTGGTGCAAGATATAGGTCAGGACATTGTTTGCCAAGAATCTGAAAAACCAGGAAAACGCAGCAGATTATGGATCGCTGAAGAAATTATAGATGTCCTGGAGAATAACGTAGTAAGTGTCGATATTTTCAAATATAGATCATTTTAGAATTGTGTCAACTTTCTATTGAGAAAAAGGCAACAAAAATATGATGTTTGATAGTTAGTTTAAATGTATGTTTCATTGATATGTAACACCTTGTTAGTATTTATTTTATGATGATCATTAAGTTCTTTCTATCTATTTGTGGTAATTTTTTCCATGTCTTCTGTATGTTGATATATACTATTTACTTTTTTTCTTTTTTGATAGGGGACTGCAAATGTTCAAGGACTATTCCTGGATTTTTTAAAGATTGATAAAGTCATACACTTGGAGCCTACAATTTTTGAAAAGATGTGTAATTTGAGATTGCTCAAAATCAATGATCATTCCTCTTTTCCCAAGAAACGAAGAATGTACCTTCAACAAGGTCTACAGTGTCTTCCCAATTCGCTGCGATATCTTGAGTGGAATGCTTATCCTTTGGAATCTTTACCACCAAACTTTAAGCCGAAAAATCTTGTTGAACTGAAGATGGTTCATAGTGAACTTAAGCAACTTTGGGATGGAGGCCAGGTATATACCTTCAATTTGTTTTATTGAACCAAATTTATAAAGTAAAAGTCTCGTTATTCTTGTCGTTTCTTTATGTTACAGGTCCTTAAGAAGTTAAGAGGCATTGATCTAAGCTTTTCTCGTAACTTGACTCGAATTCCAGATGTTTCTGCTTCTCCAGACCTTGAGAGGATAAATCTTCAGTATTGTGAATTTTTGCGTGAAATTCCTTATTCACGGATTCAGCAAAATCTTAACAACCTTATTGATGTCACGTTGAGATGCTCTGACAGGCTTCAAAAAGTTCCAGATAGAATATTAGACGCGGCATCTCTGAGAACTCTTTCTCTTAGCCGTCTTAACCTTCTTCCAACAGTGATTACATCTAGGAGCCTGGAGACTTTAGATATATGTTCAATTTTCAATCAGGAGACTTCATCAGTTGATAACTGCAAACAACTTTCAAATCTAAGTGTTTTGAATAATCTGAACTCGTTGAGATGCCTTATCTTTCGATTCTGCTCAAATCTCGAGAAGCTTCCAGAGCTTCCAAGTAATATTGAGCAATTGTATATTGAGCAGATATCAATAAAAGAACTGGACTTCCAATCAATCGAGGATCTTAAACTTGAGGAGCTTAGCATATTTGATTGCAGAAGTCTTGAAAGTTTACCACCTCGCATTTTTGAGTTGAGGTTTCTTCATTCTCTCAATCTCACTGGGTGCACAAAGTTGAAGAACCTTCCAGATATCTCCAAACCAATGGAAAGCTTAACGGATCTTTGCATAGACAAAACGGCGATTGAAAAGCTTCCCTCGTCATTTGGAAATCTAATTGGGCTTCGCACACTAAGAGCGGATTTTTGTAAATATCTTGAGTTTGACCCAGAAATCATCTTTAACATGCCTAAGCTTGCGGATCTCAGCCTTTCTAACTGTCCACAACTTACAAGTTTTACTTTCCACGGGGTAGATTTGGAAAACATTAATGTTGGGCGCTCTAATATAGAGAGAATCCCTGAAAGCATCAAAGACGCTTCTAAGCTGAGAAGGCTTGACTTGAATAATTGCCGTGATCTTCGTTCTGTACCGGCTCTTCCGTTGAGTCTAGAATCTCTTGATGCAAGTGGATGCACATTGTTGGAGGAGGTGTCAATATCAGAAGGAGCACTCACACAAGAGCTTGAGAATAATTATCCTATTACAAAGAATACTTCAATATTCTATAATTGCTCGAAATTGGGTCAAAAGGCACTAGACAACATTATAACTGAATTCCAGCGTAGAGTTCTGCGCATGGCTACCCGATTTGCATCCCTAGGACATCAGGTATGCCTTATTTCTATTATAGTTAGAAACAGAAAAACAACTAATTATTTATGCAATTGAAATAAATGACACTTCTTTTTTCTATGTTACAGGAAAAAAATCTTAAAGTTTGTTCGTGTTGTCCTGGAAATGAAATTCCAGAGTGGTTCGATCATCAAGAGGAGGGATGTCGGATTGAGATCAATATTCTTCCCCATAACTTCTTGGGTTTTGTGCTGTGTGCTGTTGGGTACGCTTGGGAGTATTCTATGCGGACGGATTTAGTTTGTGAATTAAATCTTAAAACTAACCAGAGGGTTGACCAACGTTATAGTGCTCGAGTGCCAATGGAATCATTCTCGGATCATTTGTACATGTGGTTTGAACCTCATCACTATAGTGACTACAATTACACCGACGAAGTAAGTGTGTCATTTGCATTTTCATTCATTGAATTCAATAACAATGCAGAGCGTGAAATTGCGTTTCCAAAGTCTCAAGTGAAAAAGTGCGGGATCCACGTTCTAGAGAGCAAAGATTTAAAGAAATACAATTTAACTCCTTCTGAGGCAAAAGTAAGTTGGAGCTAAGTTTGATGGTCTACCTAACTTTTAATTAATTAGAACGAAAAACGATAATATTAGTGAAGATTACAATTGCTTTCTTATCTGTGCCTCGATTTTTTTTTTCCCTTTTTATAGGAGAAGGCAAGAAACAAATCAGCTGCAACCATCGATGAGCCTAAATCAACAGGCCCGACGGAGACGGATGAATTTACAACCCTCGATGAGCCTGGATCATCAAGCCCGACCGAGACTGAGCAATTTACAATCCTCAACGAGCCTAAATCATCAAGCCCGACCGAGACAGATTAATTTACAACCCTTGACAAGCCTGAATCATCAAGTCCGGCCGAGACAGATGAATTTACTGTTAGGCCACCTATCACGTTGGTCTATTCTAGGAAAAAGGGCCGAAGGGGAAATATGCAGGAACCGGGGAAGGAAAGTGGAAATATGGGAAAGGGGTGCTGAGGTGTCAAGTTGGTTACGAGTTTGTTAGCAAGGGAGTCTTTAGCCGGTGGAGTGGCCTAGGAATTGGTGTCTATTGATTGGAAGTTTTCTGGAGCAGACCGTGGGAGGAAGGAGAACCCCGAATTCTCCATTGTTTCTTTTCTTACCTTTTCTTACTTGTTTGTGTAAGGAATTCCTCTACTGTGAAAGTTGAATGTGAGATAAATAAAAGGAGCTTGATGTAATGACTGAGAAAATTTCAGACCTTAAATAATACAATTCATGTATTTTAAGCCAAGGATTTTCTTAGAAAATATTATGTTATATTGTGAATGGAGGATTTATGGAATTAATATATGTATTCCTAAATTCTATAGCAAATTTCATGTTAAGTTCATGTTTCGATCAAGTAAATTCGATCGATAAATTCTCGCCGTATTTTAAGGCGGAATAATTTTCAGTACAAGTATAGTTTGAGAATCTTAATTTCAAGAATCTCTAAGCACAGCACGATGTTAGCGGCGTATAAAAAAAAAACGCACTGGCATTTTAAAAGAAGAAAAAAAATCCTTAATTGCTAGACAGTTAGGTTAAAGTCACAAGATAAATACCTATAGTAGATGGATACAATATGAGCTCGGGAGTTGACACTGTCAGAAACGTCATTCTTGGGATAGAATACAGAAAATTAAAATTTAGAATTTGTTCAGTCTAAAATTAATTTCAAGACTTGAAACAGTTTGAAATATTACGCGAGTAAGAATATAAAACAATATTGAATTATTCAGAAATTGATATTGGACTGTAAGGAGTAGATTAACTTACGTGAGCTAAACTAATTACCTCTAATCAGTATAAATTTAATCTGTTTAGAGGAAATAATTGAGGATAAGATCAGGCACGTAATCTTGCCTTAATCAGATACTTTATATAGTGAAATTTTTAGGGTTCTTGCACTTTCTTTCTCTTATTCTCGCTCATTCTCTCTCTCCTCTCACGTTCTCTCTCACACAAACCATCAATGGCCAAATACTCAAGTTAAGATTCCGACCTCCATTTTTGACACCGCCGGTGTCAATAGAAAGATCTCGACGAGCTGAGTTCAACGACATGCGGCACGACCTCCAACCCCGCCGGAATCAGCCGCAATCGCCGGCGGAAGTTCCGAAATTCCCATTTCTTCCCGTCGTGATATCTCCGCCATCCGACCTCCGATTGAGATGATTTCAGTCCCTATGGACTCAGTACACCGAGACGAAGAAAACCCATCCATTTTCACAGCTCGATTCTGGCTGGAGCAC